CCTAATGGTTTTTGGAGATTTCGGCGTGCGCGCGCGAAGAAAAAACGAATGTATGGCCCTGGCAGGTGCGCAACCGTTGTCGCAGAAGTTCGAAAAAGTTGCTCGCAAAAGCCCGTTTGACAGAAATGTTTAAAAAGTGTTGGGTTTCCTACGAATCCGCAAGAGCGCGCGGGATGAGATTTTGACATTTTTTGTTGAAAAACCATTGGTTTTTTGATGTTTTTATGTTAAAATCGCTCCGAACACTAAGCTTTTGGAAGGATTTCGTCTTGCGCGCGCGAATGTCCACTTTACCTTATTTTTTGCAAGGGATTCTTGAAATTTGATTATATTAGAACAAGAAATGTCATTTTATAGTGTTTTTTGCAAGGGAAAACTGATTACAACAAAACAACCGGATCTTGATGACATCGTATTACCTGAGGCTTCCTCACGAAAATGATGAAAATGTAGCTGCGGCCTAGGCGGCGCAGGGGGGCCGTGCACCAGGGGTCCCAACAATAATTATTCTTTAGAATTGATAATGTTCAACAACAACAACAACATCAAGAAGGCCCGAACAAACCACAACCATTTATGTTTCGCCGCAAGTTCGGCATGCTTTCATTTCGTACAAGCTAACCACCCAGAGTTCAGCTGCGCCCTGCCACGCACCTGCCTCACTCCGCCGCTCCCTCTAGCGCGGTGGTGGATCTGTGCGGCAGCGCGCTTTGATATTTCAAGTCACGACCCCGACCATTGAGATTTGGCAATGATGCCACAAGCGAGACCCAAGAAAGCTCGCGTTGGGGAAGAGTTGCGTAAGAGCTTGCAACAGACATCGCAACATAATGTAAAACAGCAGAACTGTCCGAACGATCGCGTGCAACACAGATGGCACGCATGCACCCCGAACGTTCACAAGCGTACGCATGGCCTCGTGTATTCCTGATGATCCTCCTCACGCACCAAGATACTCACAATCAGTGAACACGACGCCAAGGAAAGAAGAAGGAGGAAGAGAAGAGAACGACGAGGAGAAGAGTCAGGAGAAAAAGGAAGAACAGGAGGAAAGAGGAATGCCGATAATAAGGAAGAAGAGGAGGAGCCAAAGAACAACGAGGATGATCAGGAGGATGAGGACGATGACGAAAAGCAGAAAGAGGAGGAACAGGCTGACAAGGGAAAAGGAAGAGAAAAGGAAAGGAAAACACGGAGGAATAGTTCGCCTTCTGAGGCCATCCTACAGGCCATCCTACAGGCCATCCTACAGGGCATCGTGTTCGTCGCAACCACTCTCCCCACACACCTGTCTCCCTCTTCCCCCCAAAGTGACCGACGAAGAATACCAATCATCGACGCTTATTCACAGAACGGCTGTTTTAGGATGGACTGGTGGGGATTCACGAAGAGTCAACAGTTTCTTCCAGGGAAGCTGGCGGTGACGCAAGCGGGCAGCCGCGGCGCGCCTCGCATATTAGTCATCGCTATTGCGTGAGATCCCGCGCTCTTCGTGGCCGAGAGTCTTTCATACAAGCACAAGACATGCTGGCAGAGACCCTGAAAGTTCCCGCGCAGTCCCCATTGCTGAAGTGAGCCTGCAGCCAAGGGTAGCACTGGATAGCCGTGCGCGCCCGCCGAAGATCACGCTCGCAGAGGCTCTCAGGGCAGCCATGGACCAACGGCGTGTTTTTTTTTTCTCCCGGACGGGGGCGGCGGGCCGGGCGCGCGAGGCGCGGCGTGCAAGCGAACCCGTTTTTTTGTTGTGTTGTTTTTTTCTAAAGAAACAAATCACAAGAACAACTCTTCCGCCAACTCGAGCTGGGCCCCCGCATCCCACTCTGAAGGCATGCGGCCCAGAAGGTCGCCCAGCGCCTTGCCACACTCAGGCAGCCCAGCAATCCAAGGGGAAATGACGGGTTGACTGGAGTTGGGGAGGAAACGACCGAGACAGGCACGTACAGGTATGTGATGAGTGGAGTAGCTGGCTTCAGAACACAAACCGCACCAGCACTGACCGCCAGACCACGGAACAACGCAGGTGGGGGAGAAGTGTAGATGCGATCGGTCCTGGATGTTTTTATCACAGCACGCCCCTGCCGACGACGACGAGTGTCTTGGTCTTGAGATATCTCAGTTGAAGAAAGAGGCGAGCGAAGAGACGATATTGCTCGATGTCACCCGGTGCCCAGCCCGACCATCCCCACGGAATCGACCTTCTTCCTCCAATACAGAATTCCCAAATGCCCTTTGTAAGAGTATGCGCAAGAAAAGAGGCTCCGCCATGCTGGCGTTAAAGATAATCACGCTGCAGGCACTTAGGCACGCCGTGGAAAGGGAACGATGGGATCGGAGATGTTTGGGGCGGGCTTGTCGTTCTTAGTCACATTGCCCGCGGGGCCCCTGAGTATAGTTTTGAGCATTCTCCCTACAATCAGCGGAGCGTGGAAAATCAACTGGAAGGGGATCCGCGCAGAGATCGAAGCGATGACTCCACCTTCCCTGGATGACTCCCCAGAAAAAGGAGAAGCCGAAAGTGTGAGCCAAGCTCCCATTCAAGTGAAACCATATCTCCTTCATGCCAGTGTGTTTCTTGTACTGTTGCTGTGTCGCGTGCGTTGCGCAGGTTCAGGTATGTTTTGTATCGAGCCACCGCCGTCCAGGGCGGCAAGTGCACCGAAGCAAATAGAGCAGCAGCGTTCCACGCACAGGCCGGTAAGGTCGACGAGGGGAGGAAGGGAGAGGAGGGGGAAGGGAGGGAGGGGGGAGGGGGAAGGCCTGAGCAGTTGTGCCCGGCACTGTCCACCTCGGCGCCGAGAGGAACGGCGGCCAGGAACGTTTGCTGCATCCCTAAGAGTGGCGGGTGCTCGCCAATAGCGAAATGGACTAGAGCATCTCGCTCGATCTCTGTATTGATCGAGCCGTCACCGCCCATTTGAATCTTCACTGTGGGGACTGTATCGTGGGCCTGTCGAAGGACGCAGAAAGAGCCACCAAGCCCAGTGCTGCCTACGACGAGGGGCGAGGAGATCAGCGAGCTTGGCCTTCACCCGTCCGAGGGAGAAGAACAACTGGCGGCCACTGAACTCGAGTTCCCTTCGGAGGCGAAGGGAAGGATGGGAATTTGGATGCAGAGGGTCGGCCGTCGCCCAGCTTCCGCAAGCAACCGAGAAACGGTCAAGAAAGGTCGGCGCCAGTCAAAAAAACGCACGAGCATTTTGGGTGCGAACTGGGCTCTGCAAGGTCAGCCACAAGGAAAAGACTAGGACATCCTAATAGAATAAGCTTGAACACATTGCTGTGGTGCCGTTCAGAACCGTCCGCACGAACCGTCGAGCGAGGTCCATGAGATCGGGTCGAAGGCGAAGGCGGAGGAGTCGGAGACGAAAACATTTCGGCAATCTGGCGCTCGCTGGTCTTCTGGGCTGAGCACAGGTCCTCCATCTGCTTCCGGAGCTCAACGTACTTTGAGGCGACCAAAAGATGACCCAAGTCCGTGCCCATGTCGCTGGAAGATGACTGGCCGATCTGGAATGCGAGCTCCTCCCGCATCTCGTCCACAGTGATACCCTGATGGTCCTGCAGCATGCAGTGCTTCAGCTGGATGTCCCTACTCAGCAGGATCATCCTGTCAGCGAGCTCACCACATGGCGCAATACTCATGTTCACCGACGAGCGAAGGTCGCTGACGCCCTGAATGTTCTGGAACATCATCTGGTTGTTGCTGGCGAGGCTGGAGGTACATGGTCTCGAGCTGCCTGTCGGCATTGTTGCGAGGCTCGCTGTCCGATCGCCCAGGCGGGCTGCGGTTAGCTGAGCGGTCAGTCTGACGTCTCCTCCACCCGTTGGTAATGCTGGAAGAGCTGCGGCCATGGGTCGGGGCGCGCTGATCCCTGCGCGAATTGCCACCCATGGCGAAAACAACTGAATTGAGAGAAGATGGAACCGCTGCCTGAATGTGCCCCGCCAGGAGCTTACCAAAAGAGGGAACCAGACGCTGAGGAGCCTGTGGCTGGGGCTGCCTCTCAGCGCGGGGGCGGATGCTGACCTGCCGAGCTGGCTCGGAAGATCCTTTACTTGAGCCAAGACGGCAACTGATGAGGATGATGGTGATAATGATGAAGCAGTTGATGATGATGCTGATGATGATGATGATGATGAGTATGATGATGGTGGTGATGATGGTGATGATGATGCTGATGATGATGATGATGATGAGGATGGTGATGATGATTACGATGATTATGAGGATGATGGTGATGATGATGATGATGGTGCTGATGATGATAGTTGTGATGGTGATGATGGCGATGATGATGATGTTGATGATGATGATGATGATGATGATGCTGATGCTGATGATGATGATGGTGGTGGAGACAATGCTGAGGATGGTGATGTTGATGATGATGCTGAGGATGGTGATGATGATGATGATGATTATGAGGATGATGGTGATGATGATGATGATGAAGATGACGATGAGGATGATGATGGTGATGATGATGATGATGCTGATGATAGTTGTGATGGTGATGGTGGCGATGATGATGATGATGATGATGATGATGATGATGCTGATGATGATGATGATGCTGATGCTGATGCTGATGATGATGGTGGTGGTGAGGATGCTGAGGATGGTGATGATGATGATGATGATGATGAGGGTGATGATGATGATGATGGTGGTGGTGATGATGCTGAGGATGGTGATGATTATGATGATGATGATGATGATGATGATGATGATGATGATGATGATGATGATGATGATGATGATGATGAGGGAGATGCTGATGCTGATGCTGCTGCTGCTGCTGCTGCTGCTGCTGCTGATGATGATGATGATGATGATGATGATGATGATAATGCTGATGATGCTGATGATGATACTGATGATGATGATGATGATGATGATGATGATGATGAGGAGGAGGAGGAGGAGGAGGAGGAGGAGGATGTGGAGGAGGAGAAGGAGGATGACGAGGAGGCGGACGATCGAGCGCAAGCGCGCGCGCCTCTCGCAGCTCCGCGTCTGGCTCGCCGCGGACCTCCCCGGCGAGGGCCTCAAATGCACGGCCGGGGGCACGCGCGCGCGAGCCGCGGCCGCCGCCCGCGGCGCGGCGCCGCCCCGGCGAGGGGGGCTGCCGTCCCGCGGGGGGGGGGGGGCGGCCGCACGGCGGCCCACCGACGACCGACCGACCGACCGGCGGCCCACCGACGGACGACGACGAGGACGAGGGAGACCACCGGCCGACCGGCCGGCGGACGACGACGAGGACGGGAGACAGAGACCGACCGACCGACCGACCGGTTTAAGATAACCGACCGACGACGACCGACGATCACGACCGACGACCGACCACCGACCGACCACCGACCACGGCCGACGACGACCGACTGCCGACGACGACCGACCGACCGACATTCGATCCTGAGACCTGACGCCGCGGAACAGCTTGAACACAGCAACAATCACAATTGAAGCCTCGAGACACCAACTTCCAGCGTCGGTTTCCGAGCCCGATCGAGATGTGAGGATCCTGGGGCCCGAGACCGAACAGAAACGCCCGTTGCCGGGCCTTCGCAAACGGGGGCTAGGCTAAACGGGAGCTCGGGGGCTTAGGCTTTTCCGCAGGCCCCCGTTTACTATGCCCCCGTCTACGGCGCCCAGGGCCCTGTAAACGAAAGTCAGAGCCTTAAATTAGTCATCAACCTCGCCCTTATCTTGGTATGATAAGCCGATGAACTTCCTTTCTCTCCGCTTCTGCTCCTCGGTGCGACGCTCGCGCTCCTATCCCGCCCTTCTCCTTCGCACCCCCTGTTTTTCTATCCTTGGCCACTCCCTGCCTCCATTATCCGTCATTCGGTTGGCCCCAGAGGTGGCCCTCGAGGCTTTGGTATCAGACCTCCCCTCCTCCCTTCTTCGTCCTCCCCCCCTTGCGTGACTGTCTAGACCGTTGCGGCACATGCACGAAAAAACACAAAATACACAAAACACACAAAGCAAACACACAAAACGACACACAACAAACACAATACAGTACCGGACGGAACATAAAAAACACAAACACACACACATACACACACACGCACACAAACATGACAAGACGAAGCCAGGACGAAGATAAACTCGGGGATCTTCTGACCCGGGTCAATCCAGCCTTACAGAATCCTGCGAGATCCTGCACCCAAACCCAGGTCAATGCGAAGGATCCTGCAAAATCCTGCAGGATCCTGCACCCAAACCCGGGTCAGTGCGACCCTGGCCCTGCAAGATCTTCCAAGATCCAGCGCTCTGGCTGACCCCCGTTTGCATTGACCCCCGTCTCTTGAGCCCCGATACATCGAGAAATTATGAGTCCTGGCTGGTCTGGAGGCTGCCTCGGGCGCCACGGCCTTTCTGCAGAGCGTCCCGGGACGCGTTCCGAAAGCGCGGTCGCGCCCCACGTGCCCCCCCCGTCCCTGGCGCCTGGACGAGCCACGACTGCCGCGCCGGGACCTGTGCGGCCGACCGACGGCCGGCGCCGATGCCGCAGATACACTTAAGTCGGGCACGTCCCTCTGCAAGGAGAACGTTCGAGAATAATTTAGAAATAGTAAGGGGACGATGTTTGGGCTATTTTCTAGCCATTTCAAGATATTGTTGACTGAACTTATTTTTCTTCTAGAATCCGCCTGTGGGAGGACATGCCCGACCTAAAGATACACCGCCCCCCCCCCACAGGGCCAGCTGGCCGGCCGCGCCCGCTGGGGTGCCCCATCTGGGGGTTGGAGGTCGCCGCAGGCGGGGGCCTTCGCCTCCTGCTTCGCCAGCACCTCGGCGTGGTCGCTGGACACCGCCTGGGCGGGCGCTCTCGCGGTCGGAGGAGGAGGAGGAGGAGGAGGGGAGCAGGCGGAGGTAGGGAGGGAGGAAGAGGAAAGGAGGAGGAGGAGGATGAGAAGGAGGAGAAGAAGAAAAAGAAGAGGGAGGACAGAGGGCGAGAAGGTGGTGGTGGTAGTGGTGGTGGTGGTGGTGGTGGTGGTGGTGGTGGTGGTGGCTTTGGAAAGCATCGGTTTGGGCCGCGGGCACAAACCCTTTAGCGGCACCTCCCACTCAGGGATGGCTGGGGGACAGCTCACCGCCTGTCGCAGAGGCTTAGTACCGCAGCGACACGGCTCAACCGGTCCGCGAGACTCCTGGGTCGTCCCCCCAGGGGCGCCCACTCCCCCACCTCGACCACAGGAGGGCCAGCAGTACCAGTCCCCTATCTTTTAGAGCGGGAGCCCTAGAAGGGGGAAGAGCTACAGATGCGACCCCCGCCTGGGGCGAGGAGGAGTCTGCCAGTCGGCCAATCGGCCAATCGGGGAGTCGGCCAGTCGGCCAGCCGGCCACTCGGGGAGTCGGCCAATCTGGGAATCGGCCAATCTGGAGGTCGGCCAGTCGGCCAGTCGGGGAGTCGGCCAGTCGGAGTCGGGGAGTCAGCCAGTCGGCCAATCGGGGAATCCGGGAGTCGGGGAGTCGGCCGCTCGGCCAGTCCGGGAGTCGGCCAGTCGGCCAGCCGGCCAATCGGCCAATCGGCCAATTGGCCAATCGGCCAGTCAGCCAGTCGGAAAATCGGGGAATCGGGGAACGGGGGAGTCGGCCAGTCGGCCAGTCGGCCAGTCGGGGGGGGGGGGGAAGTCGGATGGTGAATCCCGCTGCCTCCAAAATTTTCCAAATGCCCCAGGGGGGGGCCCAACGACCTCCCGCGTCTTGAGGACACCAGTGACGCAGAGGGTGGGGGCGGGCAGTGTGGGAGCTCACCGCTCACCACAACCGGGGCCCCGCCCGCCCGCGCCGACCCTGGTGCCACCACGGGGCCCCGCTGCGAGGCGTCCAGAGGGAAGGCGTCGGAGAGGGGCCCTGGTCTGCGGGGAGATACGCCCTGCCCCCGCCCCAGCTCGGCTGCGGGGCGGGGCCTGGCCTGCGGGGAGACACGGGGGAGGGGGGGCGGGAGAAGCTCTACCTGCGCACGCGGCAGGGGAGTAGAGGAGGGGCGGAGGGCCTACCGAGGACTCCCCCCCTAGCACCCAGAAAAGTTCCCAGAACACCCGGGCGAGAGCGGATCCGCCACCCCCCGATACAAACTCACCCCCGCCCAAGGAATCGGGTACTTCCCCGCGCGCGGAGGAGGCCGGACCGCACCCCACATGATCCGCGGAGAGAGAGTGGGGGGCAGCACCCACCCCAGCTCACCCTATTCAGCACAATCACGCTCTGACTACCTACCAGCACCCCAACCCAGTCCGAAGACAAGAATTTCGGGTTTGGGGGGGTACAGGCTTCATAGGTTGTTTGTCCATGTTCCCCGACCCCCTCCACTGGGAATGAAGGGCAAATTGGGACCTTCGGATTGGGTTGGGGTGGTCTGGTGAGTGGTGACGCTCTGATGACAGTAGGAGCGATGGCGACAGCGGCTGCACAGCACGCGCTCAACCACTTCCGGCCCAAAACCGCTCGGGAGACCTGCTGCGGCTGTACCTGCGCCGCCCAGAAAGCTGCCCAGCCCCCCTGCACCCCTTGACACACACACACACAACACACACACACAACACACAACACACAACACACAACACACAACACACAACACACAACACACAACACAACACACACACACACACACACACCACACACCACACACCACACACCACACAACACACAACACACAACACACAACATACGACACATATATACACACACACACACTGCATGCGCGGAAGGAGAGGCTGCGCTGCCGCGCACCGCACAGGAGGGGAGACAGAGGAGGAGAGGCGGAGGAGAAGGGGGACGGACGGGGAGGGGAGGAGGGAGTGGACAGGAGGAGGGAGGAGGAAGAGGAGGGGGGGACCCCCGAGCCTCTCCCCCTAACGCTGGCCCTCTTCTAGATCCCACCTTGCGAAACATGCAGCATCGCAACACGTGTCGACTGGAGCCTCGGACCCATCTCTCTGCGCCAATACTCGAGCTGGATCGATCCGTGAGGGCCCTCGGGCCCGAAACAGATCGAAAACGCCCGTTTTTGAAAAAAATGCAACGCCAGGAGCTCAAGGGCAATCGTTTTTGTCCGCAACGTCGACCTGTTTTCCATCCTGCAGGAGCCGTTTTTTGACGGTCCCGACGAGATCTGTTCACAACGCGAGGGGGTCCGGGGGGGCCGATCCCCGCCTTCTCGTAGAGGCTGTCGAAGTAGTGCTGCGGCAGGCCGACATCGTTCATCGGGCCTCTGGCCGGCCAGGCGCGCTGCGCCCTGCGAACCCCCCCCAGCTTTAGGTCGGGCATGTCCTCTTGCAGGCGGATTTCTGCCGAAAATTCAAAAATATTCAAACAAGCATTCAAACATCTCAAAATATAGGGAAACAAACGTTCCCAGACTATTTTCTAAATGTTTCTTGTATGTTCCTCCTGTAGAGGGACATGCCCGACTCGCGGCCAGGAAGGTGCTGGAAGAGGAAAGATGATCGAAGGAGGAAAAACAACATAACATAAACTTTTAGCGCTCCGCGCGGACTTCTTGGATCCGCGCTGAGCCCCCCTGGCGGCGCCTCCGGCGCCGCCCTCGGCGCCGCTCCTGGCGCGCTCCGCTTGCCAGGGAGGGGGGCCCAGCGTAGATCCAAGAAATCCGCGCGGAGCGTCAAAAGTCCATGTTTATGGCGTTTGGTTCGTCTTCGATGCGCGCGTGCGCAGGCGTACGGCCAGACCTAAGACAAAAGAACATCTTCCACGAACATGAGACCCTCCGCCGGCCAAAACACCCCAGACCAGAAGGTCATTCGACGCACCCTCCCCCAGGATGCACAAGAGCATCCAACAAGCACGAAGGACACTAGGGTACCCTCCCCGAACCGACCTCGATCTTACACTTATACCTCGGTCCGACCATATCAACTCTCGACGTCGGCTCTGTTCGTAAAGGCGAGGCCGGGGAGCACGAAGTTGACGGGGGCCCCTGCGGGCCCCCAGATCTAGCCGAAATTCGCCCTCTCCACAGCAACGCCGACCACAACATCTCCAAGCTGATTCGGATCGGCCGAAGTTTCGGCCGGGGCGCATGCAGTGCACGCTCGTGTCGTGACGACTTCTGCACTGGTTTCTGGTCCCGCGTGGACCGTTCAGCCTTGGACGGTCGGCGGCTTTTCGATCGCAAGATCATTCTCTACGTCCGCCGATTCTGGGCCACTGGCGGCGCTCAATCCTGAGCGCCCGCGCTGAAGTCGACGCCGCGTCGGCACGACGCAAACCGACCGCAGCCCAGGGGCGGGCAGTGTACGCACTTGCGTGGGAGCCGCGTCGAAGACCCGGGCACATGCAGCGCTGCCCCCCCCCCCGCGCTACGCGCCCCAGTCGCACCCTCCCCCCTCCGCCGAGGGCCCAGACGCCCCGCAGCCCGAGGAAGATCGAGAATCGGCATGCCTCTCGCCGAGAGACGGGCCTCCGCCCCCCCCCCTCCCAACATTGACTCGCACGGGAGCTCCCGGGCCCGTGCCCTTTCTGGTGCGCGCGCCAGCGTTTCGCCCAACCGCCCCGCTCGTCGACCGACAATGCCGGCGGCATGGCTGGCTTCCGGGCCAGGTTCACGAAAAAATGCCTGGGCTAAAAAAGCTGCCTCCTTGGAAGGCGGCAAGAGGTGGGGGGGCCCGCGCTTTGAAAGAAGCAAGTGTGACGTCCGAGAGATGTGTGGGGAGGGGGCGCCCCAGCTGGCCTCACCGAGCCCCCAGGGTGGCCCGAGGTGGTCTCGAGACCCGGGCGCCGCCTCTGTTGGCGCCACTGGTGCGCTTCGCGCTCCGCGCGGATTGCTTGGATCCGCGCCCGACACCTCTCCCTGACAAGCGGAGCGCGCCAGAGGCGGCGCGGGAGGCGTCGCCAGGGGGGCCCAGCGTCGATCCAACAACTGGCAGGCATCCTCCAGAATCAGGGGAAAACCATAGGAAACCAGAGCAATCCTTCACCTTCAGGAATCCCCACGGATCCTTGGGGGACCTCGGGGGGGGGGAGACCACACCCACACTTCCACCGCCCTGGGGGGAGCGTTGCGGTGTGAGTGTGGGTGTGGTTGTGGGTGTGGGTTCCCCACCGCCGAAAGGCCGAGGCCCTGGCCCCCGCTCTCGTCAACAAGATGAGCATCATCACCACCATCATCAGAAACAGCATCATCATCATCATCATCATCATCATCATCAGCAGCAGCAGCAGCAGCATCAGCATCATCAGCATCATCAACAGCATCAGCATCATCATCAGAAACATCATCATCAGCACCACCACCATCCTCAACATCATGATTATCATCACCATTATCAACAGCATCAGCATCAGCATCAGCATCCGCATCAGCATCCGCATCAGCAGCATCATCATCATCATCACCACCAGCAACAGCATCTGCACCATCATCAGCATCGTCATTATCAGCAGCAATATCGTCATCATCACCATCATCAGCATCATCAGCGTCATCGTCATGATCCTCATCCCAATCCTCATGATCATCATCGTAATCATCATCATCAGCATCATCATCGTCATCATTAGTATCAGCAGCATCGTCTGCATCATCATAAGCATCTTCAGCATCATCAGCAATATCGTCATCATCATCATCATCATCGGCATCATCATCGCGTCATCGTCATGATCCTCATCCTCATCCTCATCATCATAATCATAATCATCATCAGCGTCAACATTGTCATCATTATCATCATTGGCATCATTTTCGTCAGCATCATTATCATAATCAGCATCAGCATGATTAGCAAACTCAGCATCATCATCAGCATCATCAGTAGCATCATCATCATCATCATCGCCATCATCAGCATCATCAGTAGCATCATCACCATCATCATCATCATCATCATCATCATCATCATCCTGATCATCACCATTACAATCATCACACTCATCATCAGCAGCATCAGCAGCAGGATCATCATCATCATCATTGTCATCACCATCGTCATCAACATCAACATCGCCATCATTGTCATGCTCCGCAACACAGCGGTGACAGTGGGTCGGCGGCCGGAGCGTGAGCTCGAGAAGCAGGCAGAGCGAGAGGCGGAGCAAGGGGGCGGGCCAGCAGAAGGGCGGCAAGGGCGGCGAAGGAGCCGCGACGGAAGCGGCGAGGACCTGAACGGCACACGCACACACGCACACACGCATACACGCACACACGCACACACGCACACACACAGACACACGCACACAGACACACACACGCACGCACGCACGCATACACGCATACACACACACACACGCAAACACACACACGCGCGCACACACGCACACACATAGACACACACACACACGCACGCCAACACAGACACACACAAACGCACACACGCACGTACACACAGACACCTGCACACACACGCACACACACACACACACACACACACGCGCACACGCACACGCACGCACGCACGCACGCACGCACGCACGCACACACGCAGACACACACAAACACACACACACGCACACACACACACGCACACGC